GTGGAAGGAATGTATGCTTGTTGTTGTTGTTGTTAGGTGCTGTTGCGTTGGTTCCAACTCAGAGTGACCCTGTGTACAACAGAACAAAACAGTGCCAGTCCTGAGCCATCCTCACAATCATTGCTAAGTTTGAGCCCATTGTTACAGCCACTGTGTCAATCCATCTCGTTGAGGATCTTCCTCTTTATCACTGACCCTCTGCTTTACCAAGCATGATGTTCTTCTCCAGGGACTGATCCCTTCAGATAACATGTCCAAAATATGTGAAACGAAGTCCTGCCATCCTTGCTTCTAAGGAGCACTCTGGCTGTCCTTCTTCCATGACAGATTTGTTCATTCTTATGGCAGACCATGGTATATTCAATAGTCTTTGCCATTACCATAATTTAAAGGCATCAATTCTTCTTTGGTCTTCTTTATTCATTGTCCACCTTTCGAATGTATATGAGGTGATTGAAAACACCATGGCTTGGATCAGGCACACCTTAGTCATTAAAGTCGCAGCTTTGCTTTTTAACACTTTAAAGAGGTCTTTTGCAGCAGATTTGCCCAATACAATGCATCTTTTGATTTCTTGACTGCTGCTTCCATGGGTGTTGATTGCAGATCTAAGTAAAATGAAATCCTTGACAACTTCAATCTTTTCTCCATTTATCATGATGTTGCTTATTGGTCCAGTTGTGAGGATTTTTGTTTTCTTTATGTTAAGGTATAATCCATACTGAAGGCTGTAATCTTTGATCTTCATCAGTAGATGCTTCAAGTCCTCTTCACTTTCAGCAAGCAAGGTTGTGGCATATCGCAGGTTGTTAATGAGTCTTCCTCCAATCCTGATGCCATGTTCTTCTTCATATAGTCCAGCTTCCCAGATTATTTGCTCAGCATACAGACTGAATAAGTATGGTGAAAAGTACAACTCTGACAGACACCTTTCCTGATTTTAAACCACACAGTATCTCCTTGCTCTGTTTGAACGACTGACTCTTGGTCTATGTACAGGTTCCTCATGAGCACAATTAAGTGTTCTGGAATTCTCATTCTTTGCAATGTTATCCATAATTTTTTATGAGCCACACAGTCAAATGCCTTTGCATAGTCAGTGAAACACAGGTAAACATCTTTCTGGTATTCTCTGCTTTCAGCCAAGATTCATCTGACATCAGCAATGATATCCCTTGTTCCATGTTCTCTTCTGAATCCAGCTTGAATTTCTGGCATTTCCCTGCCATGATGTACCACTGTAACCTCTTTTGAATGATCTTCAGTAAAATTTTACTTGTGTGTGATATTAATGATATTGTTCGATAATTTACACATTTTGTTGGATCACCTTTCTTTGGAATGGGCACGAATGTGGATCTCTTCCAGTCGGTTGGACAGGTAGCTATTTTCTGAATTTCTTGGTATAGATGAGTGAGCCCATCTAGCACTGCATCCAGTTGTTGAAACATCTCAGTTGGTATTCCATCAATTCCTGGAGCCTTGTTTTTCGCCAATGCCTTTGGCGTAGCTTGGACTTCGTCCTTCAGTACCATTGGTTCTTGATCATTTGCTGACTCCTGAAATGGTCAACCAGTTCTTTTTTGGTACGGTGACTCTGTGTATTCCTTCCATCTTCTTTTGATGCTTCTGATATCATTTAATATTTTCCCTGTAGAATCCTTCAAAATTGTAACTTGAGGCTTCAATTTTTGTTTCAGTTCTTTCAGCTTGAGAACTGCCGAGCATGTTCTTTCCTTTTGGTTTTCTAACTCCAAGTCTTTGCACATTTCATCATAATGCTAAATGAATAATTTCTTTTATTAGGATCAGCACAAAGCTGGTTCCTATAAGGCAGAGGTTAAAGATGTCGCAAATGTCCAAGTTTTCCAAACTGCTGTACCACTCCATCATCTCTAACATCAACCACTTCCTCTCCCCTCAGTACTCTCCCTCCCGTCTTTGGGTTTCTTAATTCACTGAAACAGCTCACAGAACTCATGAACTGTATCAAGGAAATGGTTCACGTGGTTCTGGAGGCTGGCAAGTCCCAAATCTGTGGGTCAGGCGCAGGCTTTTCCTGACCCATGTGGCTGCAAGGGATGACGAACCCAAACTGGCAGTTTAGACCACAGGCTGCTGGCTCACAAGGCTGCGGAAGCTGGTGAATCAGGTCAGATGATAGCACACCAGCCCATGGGGCTGTGGAGGCCAGCGAATCCCAGAATTGGCAGGTCAGACAGCAGGCCTGTGGTTTGAGTCTTAAGAACCAGAAGTCAGTTAATTACAAGCTGGACACAGGATCCAGATGCAGAGAGAGAGAATCCAGCCAGGACATACAAATATATCTTAGATGCAGGCCACACTCCAGGGAAGTGTAATTTGAGTAAGGATGGGGCTTGAGTCACGCCCTCCTACAAGGCTTCGACCCAGGACACAACCTATACCAATCTTGTCTCATCAACATGTAGAGGTCAGGATCCACAACACGTAAAATGGAGGACAACCACACAATACTGGGAATCATGGCCTAGCCAAGTCTACACATAACCCCAACCATCACAGGTTCCATGTACCTTATTTGCATAGTCCCACTCAGTCACTGAGTGTGAGTAACAAAGACCATGGCTAGAAGAGCCATGTTAAGTAATTCATTATGCAGCAAATGCTTTAATTTGTTTTCTTGAGCTGCCCTTTGAAAGCTTCTGTTCAGCTCTTTCATTTCATCATTTCTTCCTTTTGCTTTAGCTATTCTACATTCAAGAGCAAGTTTCAGAGTCTCTTCTGACATCCGTTTTTGTCTTTTCTTTCTTTTTAATGACTTTTTGCTTTCCTCGTGTATGATGTCCTTGATGTCATTCCACAACTCGTCTGGTCTTCAGTCATTAGTGTTCACATGTGTTAAATCTATTCTTGAGATCATCTCTAAATTCAGGTGAGGTATACTTAAGGTCGTACTTTGGCTGTCATGGACCTGTTCTAATTTTCTTCAGCTTCAACTTGAACTTGCATATGAACAACTGATGGTCTGTTCTGCAGTCGGCCTGTGGCCTTGTTCTGACTGATGATATTGAGCTTTTTCATCGTCTCTTTCCACAGATGTTGTCAATTTGATTCCTGTGTATTCCATCTGGTGAGGTCCACATGTATAGTCACCGTTTATGTGGGTAATAAAAGGTATTTGCAAGGAATAAGTCTGTCATGTGATCTCCGGCATCATTTCTATCACCAAGGCCATATTTTCCAACTACTGTTCCTTCTTCTTTGTTTCCAACTTTCTCATTCCAGTCACCAGTAATTATCAGTGCATCTTGATTGCATGTTTGATCAATTCAGATTGCAGAAGTTGGTAAAAATCTTCAGTTTCTTCATCTTTGGCCTTAGTGGTTGGTGCGTAAATTTGAATAATGGTCATGTTAACTGGTCTTCCTTGGAGGTGTATGGATATTATCCTGTCACTGAGTGTTGTACTTCAGGATAGATCTTGAAATGTTCTTTTTGATGACGAATGCAAAGCCATTCCTCTTCAAGTTGTCATTGCTGGTGTAGTAGATCACATGATTGCCTGATTCAAAATGGCCCAGTACCAGTCCATTTCAGCTCACTGATGCCTAGGATTTCAATGTTTATGCGTTCCATTTCATTTTTGACAATTTCCAATTTTCCTAGTCATACTTCATATATTCCACATTCCTATTGTGTTAATAGATGTTTTCAGCTGTTTCTTCTCATTTTGAGTCATGCCACCTCAGCAAATGAAGGTCTTGAAAGCTTGAGTCCATCCACATCATTAAGGTTGACTCTACTTTGAGGAGGCAGCTCTTCCCCAGTCATATTTTGAATGTCTTCCAACCTGAGGGGCTCATCTTCCGGCACTATATCAGACAATGTTCTGCAGCTATTCATAAGATTGTCACTAGCTAATTTTTTCAGAAGCAGACTGCCAGGCCTTTCTTCCTAGTCTTCCTTAGTCTGGAAGCTCCTCTGAAACCTGCCCACCATGGGTGACCCTACTGGTATTTGAAATACTGGTGGCATAGCTTCTAGCATCACAGCAACATGCAAGCCACCACAGTGAGACATGCTGACCGACGCGTGGGGAATTTATGGTAGATGTTTTCAGATACACACAAGCTGCAGTATAGAGAGGGCAGGAAGAACCTGTTGTATCACACTTCTCCTAAAGACCTTTAGTGGCTCTCAGTTGCCATAGAAATAAGGTCTAAACTTCTTAACAAAGCTTAGAGATTATCACATGATCTGCTATTTGCCTCCTCTTCAAAATCCGTATCACTCTTGCACTCTAACAAGAGGCTGCATTCAGCCCTTCGGAGATGTTCCTTCTGCCTAAATACTCTTTCCCATTCTCTGGCTGGCCAGCCATCACCTGTGTCTCAACGTACTCCTTCTCTAACCCCCAGACATGGTTACGTCTTCTTGCTATACATGCCATAGCATCCTATTCTTCCCATTTTGTAGCACTCATTAAATTTTGCTTGTTTCATGTCTGTCTTTCCTGCTAAACAGCAAACTCCAAAAGGTTAGCAGCCAGTTCTCTTTTTAGTATTGTAACCTAGGCTTAACACAAGACTAATACATAGTAGGTGTGCTCAACAAGTGTTTTTTCATTGAAGTTGATCAATAACACCAGGGGTATTTGATAATGGGAAGAGAGAAAGGGAGGATGAGTCGAAGGAAAGGAGGCAGAAGGTTAATTTTAGTAGGCAGAGCATTTGGGGCAAAGATAGATGGGTAGTACGTCTCACCGTGGACCTCTTGAGAACCAGGAATACCAAGATGGTAAGTTTGCCTGGATAAAGGGAATCTGTTTTGCTGTTTTGCTGAGGCCTCTGATGGTGGTAGCACCTTTTTGCTGGTGAGGTCATGTCAGGTCCTGTGCAAACATGGGGTGTCAGCATACACAGTGCTTCGTGCTTGGGGAGTTTGTCAGGAAGAGATTCTGTTGAAGAGTTCTAAGTTACAGCATTATCCCATTGTCTGTCTCAATTTTTCCCTTACAGAGGACATGAAGGAACCAGACAATCAGGATACAGATGAGGAAAAATCAGATAAATCAAAGAGTGAAAGAAAAACATCTCAGAGGTCTTCTAGGTCCGAATCAAGATGTAAGTAAAGTTATAATAGACACTTGTGTTTATAATTATTTAAGTTTAAGTAAAATAAATTTTAAAGAGTGTACATCTAAATTTACAGAACGTAAATAATGTCCTTGTTTAATTCCTTACTAAACTCTAGTTCCTTAAGAGCAGAGTCTATGTTTTCATCATTGTTTTATCTCCAGCTCCTGGCACACAGAAGTTACTATCATCTTTACATTGATAATGACCTATTTGCACATCTGGTCTTCATCTCTCATGTGAGGTCTACCAAATCTTCATTGGAGGTTTTTAATACATGTAGTAGAAAGAAAGCTGGACTTTGGTTTTGAGTCCTGAATTTACCACTTAAAGATGCTTGATCTTGGATAAATTAACTCACCTTTCTGAGCCTCAGTTTTCTCACCCATTAAAATGATTACTGTGAGTTGCTTGGGGATTAAAATGGAAAGTGTATATGGAAGGGTTTCATAGACTGCAAATAGATGGAAAAGTAAGGAATTTGGTAACTGGGATTTGTAAAGGATGGCTAGCTCTTTCTGACTGGGCATCATGGTGTTAGGTATCTTAGTGGAATCTTGAGTTTTCAGGCTCTAATCCTAAATATAATTTCAGAAATTTAATTTTGAGATCCTGGGAAAATCAGTTTATTAATAAAATTTACGTTAAATTTTTTTAATCTAAGACATGTTTCGTGCATCAGAATTTCTCCATATCATATTTTATTTTAGGCATTTATCTTTTCTTGCTTGGACTCTTGCAGCAAGGATTTCCACCATGATGCCACTAGAATTACCTTTCCAAAAAATATAATCACATCACTCTCCTACTCAAAAACTTTAGTTTGCCCCTCCCTTGTTTTTCCCTTTTCCCTCATCCCCACTTCCTACATTTCTGACACAGGATTGTGTTCTTTCAGGTTTCTATTCCTTGGCACCATTTTCCTGAATACTACTCTCAACTTTGCATGGGTAAACTTAATGATAATGACCATTTGTCTAGCTGCCTTGGGACCTCCCTTTCTTATGTTAGACCCACTTAGGGACAGGCTTTGCCCTCTGCTCAGCTCATAGATTAGTCCATATATGATGGGTCTGAGGATACAAAATAATAATGTGAAATAATTTGCTACAATCCTGAACTCTCTCTACCTTGCCAATATGGTATAGTGAGAAGGTATCTATCCTATTCAGCCATATACATGTTAGCTCCTTCTGAGTTTATGTATTTGTTTCCCACTTTCAATGTTGGCTTTAGATTATTCCAAGAATAGAAAGGCAAATGGTGATTTATTCTTCAAACCATAAGCCTTCTACCAGTCAATTTTTGAATTATAAATATCCCCAGTAATTGTAAAATCACCTAGATTTGCTGTTTCACTGTCTTCAATTAATGTGTCTACTTCTTGCCATGTTAGTTTTTCTCCTAAGTCCTTTTATTCTATCAGTGGCAGAACCCTTCTTCCAGGCTCAGAATAGCCATTATTTTTTGTTATCTACCCTCCATCTGTATTCACCCCCAATTCCTTTATCAGTGATTGCTTCATCCTAGGTCTTTGCACGTAGAGCCTGTGATGGTTAAGATGTGTCAACTTGTCTGGGCCATGATTCTCAGTGTTTTAATGTGATCACTCCCATGATTGAATATAATGTGAGTAGCCAATCAGATGAAAGGGAGTCTCCTTAGGGGTGTGGCCCGCATCTGAATATAAGCAGACGTTCTGGCTTTTTGCTCTCTCTGGATCCTGCGGCTGTCTCCTGTCATCTCATCTCTGGTTCTTGGGACTTGAGCTGTCAGCTTATCTGCTGAACTTGGGATTCGTCGATCTTCACAGCCTGTAAGCGGAGCCCTGCTCGCTGACCTGCCAATCTTGGGTTCGCCAGCCCCTACAGCTACGTGAATCAGGAGAAACCTTGTGGTCTTGCCTGCTGATCTCGGAATTTGTCACCCTTCACAGCCTGTGAGCGGGAGGGCTGCTCTCCAACCTGCCGATCCTGGGCTCACCAGCTTCCGCAGCTGTGTGACTTGGGAGAGGCCTCTAACCTGATCCATGGACTTGGGACATTCTAGCCTCTATGATCGCGTGAGCTGTTTCCTTGATATAAATCTCTCTCTATATATTTATATGCGTTACTGGTCTTGCTTCTCTAGAGAACCCAGCCTAAGACAGAGCCCAGTGGTCTCGTCTACTGGCAGTCTCAACTTCTTTCCAGGGGGAGCTCATCAGATAGAGTGTTAAGCTATTGACACCCTAATCTGGAAATGTGGAAATAGTGTTTGGTTGTCACAGTCCCACAAAAGAACTAAGGTGTTTGTTAAATGGTATTATTGGAGAGTAGTTCCCCAGGACCATTCTTCGGAAAAACCAAGTTGCACATTTGGCCTATTTAAGTATCCTGCATTATTTTCTTTCCATCCAAACACATGAATCCTACAGAACCCTGTCTTGTCACCCAGCCAATTGGCTTGGCCAATCTTTCCTGCCTCATTCATATTAGTCTTTGGCCTTGTTCCTAATCATTTAGCCTCATTAAAGCTAGATCATCTAGTTGGCTCTACTCTGCTTCGGTACAATTGTAATTTCTTCCTTCCTCTTCTGAAAGTTCACCTAGTCTTGTCCTTCACCTGCTTGGCATTGTAGATTTTAACAATACCCATGTTTGGACTTGATCTGAATGTTGCCTTATGCTTGGGACCATTGTATTTCCATTCCAATTCGCTTTCTTGCCTAGCTTGTCCTAAAGCCAATATTCTAACATATGCCTGGAATATAACTTCAGAGAGAATCATACTCAGAAAAGGACATTCTTAATTAAGTGTTATTTGTCTTTAATATAACAGATCCTCTATAAATGGTGGCAAAATTGAATTGAACTGAAATAATGATAGCTGGATACTAGCTTCTTTTTTCTTCATGTTTTACTCTCTTACAAGTATGTAGTGATAAGAATCAGACTGGAGATGAAGTGAAGATGGAGATTAACTCGCAGGAACGGCTTCCTTTTTTTTTTTTTAAGTTATAAAACTGACCAAATAAAATAATTCTTCTAGGAATTTTTGAGTATTAAAGTAAATTTAGAGCAAGTTTGAAGCATCAGCTACTTTGGGAATAACAAACTATTCAAAATTTAGAAATTACTATAACAAATTATTTTTAATAGCTGCAACAAGAGACGATTTCAAATTTTCACAAGATATCACAGATGATATGTTAACTGAAGGGGAAGACTCATATTCAGACGATGAAGACTTATATGTAGAGCATTTGGAAGGAAGTTCAAGTTCATTTCAGGATGATAATTTGGAAAGCACTGGAGGTAAATATTATTGGTTTTCTATTAGTAATTGTCACTGTTTTAAAGACAAATTGCCCAGTTCTGCATGTGAACAGTTTTAAGTTCCCAGAAAGAAAAATTTGCAGGCTGTGTATATGTATGGGGGTTGATAAAAAGAAAAGCATTGCACACATTCTGATGGGGTGGCTTAGCGGCTCTGGAGTTGTATATTCCATTTCTGATGATCACATACAGAGCTCTCACATTTGGTCTTCTGGAGAGTGGATGGTATAAGGATTGTTCCACCCCAGATCAGTGAGAGTAACTCTCTCTTGGAATTGATTGAGAGTTGCTCTTTCAGATTCTGTCAAAACCACAACCAGAGCTCAGCATTCAGTCCTGACACCCACAGGCATGTTGACTTTTCTTCCCATGCTGATTGGTGGGTAGCATCATACATCCGGGCAACTGGTAGTACTTACTGCCAGAGTATTTCAGCCTATGTATGTTCCTCTTGTCTTTGGAAAGTATCATTTTAGAATTCACCAGACACTCTTCTTAGTTAAAATATTTTAATTTTTTAGAATCTCTGTACGTGGAAACCCCTGCCCCACCTGCGGAAGAGGCAGAGGAGAAAGTTAAGAAGAAAATATCAGTTAGTTTCTTCTACAATTATGATGAACTTGCTTCGAGGCCTTTTGTGACTCCAGATTCGAGCATACCACTTCATCTTCTCACGCTTGTGTATCCATTCCAGCTACATATGTATAATTTGGTAATTTTAGCTTCTTGGCCCATGGACTAAATCTGGCCTTCCGCCTGTTTTTGTAGATAAAGTTTTATTGGAACACAGCCACACTCATTTGTTTACATTTTGTCTATGGCTGCCATCGCACTAAGTAGTTACAACAGAGCCCATCTGACCCACAAGGCCTAAAATACTATCTTTACAGAAAAAGTTTGCCACCTTGTGTCTTAGGTAATTCTAAGACTTTAGCCCTTAGGGAATTTTAGGTAGAAATGCATGATCTTAATTTAAACCAAGCTTTTGTTTGATACCAAATTACCACAAAGAGAAATGTCCTTTGCATTGCACAGGTGAAAAAGACAGCAGCCCAGGAGATATAATGTGAAGGAGACCAGAAGGCCCTCTTATTCCCACTTACCTCCTCTAGCAGCCTGGCCTGCTGTTGCCAATGCCTGTCAAGTTATAAGCATCCATGTCCCTTCATGACACACCAATGCAGCCATCCTCAGGCATTAGTGCTCGCACATTAATTTATTATCAGATGAATTTTCAGAGCAGGAGTCCCTGAGAAAATAGAGGCTGGGATCCAGTCTGGAGACTTAACAGTCTTGAATACATGTGAAAGTGGGGATGATAGACAAGGGGGTTCTGTGTCCGCCATCACTTCATGATGTTAGCTTGCAAGGCGAGTAGTTAGAAGATGATCTCCATTAAGGTCCCTAGCTGGCAACTTAGTAGGCCCACCTCCAGATGAGCTGTGGTTATCTCCTCACAGCCTAAACCACTGGCTTCTTATACAGGCGTGCTTACAGAGATAGAGTGACTCATTTTACTTTCTATATGAAAACAGGACATGTTGTTAATACAGGAGCAAAGTATTAGTTATAATTTATTGTAATTAGTATGATTTTAATACCACAGCTCTTGTATTTAGGTAGTGTATGCACTTGAGCAAGTTTTAAGAAATAAAAATATTTAGGTACAAGTCAGTGCCTTTCTTACTGATTTTTACTGTTATTAGTATTTTTTCTCTGATTCAATCCCAGGTGTGACTAAAACTAACTCACACTGGATTTTGTAACCTGGAGTTTTTCTCTTTAGTGTTTTTTTTTTTCCCCCTGTGTCTTTGGACAAGCATCTGACCAAAGGTGTACAGTTATTTTTCTTCTAGCCTATTTTTTTTCAAATGGGGTAGCTGTGGTGTATATGAGTCACCTGGATGCTTTTCCTAAAATACGCATGCTCTGATGACTTCCTGAACCTGATGTTATTTCTGTGGAGAGGGGCTTGGACATAAGTACTCTGACAAAGCTGCCTAGGTGGTTTTGAATGTGTCTCCCTCCCCTACCCCCTAATACTGGGCCCTCACAGCTCCAGGATTTGACGGTTTGTGGATTAGGGAGACTGCCCAGATTCTAAGCACTAGAGTCAGAAGTGACCTCAACTTTTGACCTGACACATGAATTCTCTCTACTTATGCTGGATGAGTGACTGTATTCTATAGCCTTTCCCTGAACACTTTTAATATTGGGGATTCACAGAGGAGCATATCCCATTTTTGGACAGCTTGAATAATAAGACAGCTCGTCCAGGCCTCAAATCAAAATCTGCCTGTCTGGAACCTCCCACACTGGACTTGTTCTACTCTCTGGAGATGGAACAGTATAATCTCTATTTCTTGTGAGACACTCTAAGTATAGAAGTCAGCGTCATATACCCCCTAAGTGCTTTTTTCTGCAGGTAAACACCCTTGGTTATTTCTGCTGGTCTCACATGTCATGATTTTCCAGGCTTCTATCAGGTCACTGTCCTCAGGGCATGCTCCATCTTGTTGGAGTTCTTCTCTGGTGTGGTACCCAGAACTGAACACAGTGTCATAGGAGCAGCCAGACCAGCAGTCTCTTAAAAATTTACCGTAATTCCAACCAAATTAGGAGGAAAGGTCTCTGAGTAGTGCAAACAATTTGCACTTGACTACTAAACTAAAGGTTGGCGGTTCGAACACACCCAGCAGCACTGCTAAAGAAAGGCCTGCCGATAATCTTGGTAAAGATTATAGCCAAGAAAACCTGGTGGAGCAGTTTTACTATGTAACACATGGGGTCGCCATGAGTAGATATCGACTTGATGGCAGTGGGTCAGTTAGGAGGAAGGCATTAAGGTGCCTTTCCAGCACTCATTTAGTTCCCAGACCAGAAGGCCAGGGCCCTGCATCTTTTCCTTCAGTGGGCAGAAGTCAAATGAGAGGTTCATCCCTGTTATTTTCTCCTCCCATACCAATTCACAAAAACCTCCAGGTCTTTACTAGTTTCTCTATTTGTGAAATAGGCCATTACACAGCCTTTGGCTCAGCAGCTTTTAAAATATAAGAACAATGGATCCTTTGTTAATTATATTGAGTATACTTCACTTTTAAAATTTGCCTCTTCTAAATCAGTCTATTTTGGCAAAAAAATATACCATTTATAAAATATCACTTAGAGCATAACCTATAAAAGACATTAAACAGAATTTAACACAGTGTTTAAACACATCTTTAAAGTGGAGGCCATAGATAGACAGGAAGGAACATGGAAGACCCCCATTCTCTGGAAGGAGGTTAAGAAGAGAAAGACAGAAGAAAGGATGAGATAAGATGGAAGGGAGTTGAAGGTATACTAAAACACACATTTTAACATTTTCAAATCTCTGCTTAGGAACTGCCACTGTCCTCTGGGGCTAAGAGGGAATAATCAGAATCTAGTTATACACTAGTTAATTAATTCAGCAAACGTTTATTGAGTGCCTAGTTAGCCTTAGAGACTGTGCTGGGCACTCTGGGAAGTAAATATGAGGAAGACGCAGTCTCTGCCCTCAAGTGGGTTGTGATTTAGAGGAGAGGAGTTTGGGAAGTTACCATTTTGCCCGTTTCTGTTCGGAAGGGCTTTAAATCAGAGGAGCAACATGGAATAGGGAGGTTTTCTCCCCCCTGAAATTAGAAATGATAATATTAGATAAATGATAATGTCTATGATTCACAACTTTCATCCAAGTTAGTGAAAAGATGATAACCCACTTCTATTCTACTCATATTATTATAGACATGCGTCTAGCCCTCCGAAGTATTATAGTGGCACCTGGAAAAAGAGAAGGAGAGAAGGAGAAAGGAAAGGAAAGCAGTGGTTGGGGGAAGAGAAAGAGCCATGCCAAGCTCTTTAAAGATAAGGAACTGTACACCCAATTTTTTATTTGTCCTGTGGCTACAGAGGCCCCAGACGTTCTCCATGAAGCCCAGATAACTTCATCTAAACCTTTGGATCACATATAGATTCAGAAAAACTCTTTCTCAATTTAACTACTAAGTAATGAGATGAGTATAGCTGGTTATGTATAACGAAAACAACAACCAGTTGCCACTGAGTTGACTCCAACTCATGGTGACCCTATGTATATCAGAGTAAAACTGTGTTCCATAAGTTTTTCAGAAGTAGATCGACAGGCCTTTCTTCCCAGGTGCCTCTGGGTAGACTCGAACCTCCAAACTTTCAATTAGCATTCAAGTGCATTAACCATTTTCACCACCCAGGGTTATGTATAGTTGGTTATAATTTGTATGTACTTTGCAACTAAAACTGCATTAATTACAATTTTGTCTTCATTTTTACATTCTTCATGTTCTTCTTTTTAAAAGTTTCACATGATTTATTTCTCTGAAAATTTTTATTTACTTACAAGTAAGTGGAATCCTCTAAAATTAGAATATGTTTTTTGAACAAGGGCTCAGGAAATAAAAATTTCTCCCATGTTTTTCAACTTTTGGATCCCAACAAAATTCATGTATAATAAGAATCTATCTACTTAAGATACACTACAATATATAGTTATTTTGCCAACTATAATTTTTTCATAAGTTAACCTCATTTAGTTTACTTATTGCATTTATTTATTGAATTA